TATATATATATATATATATATATATATATATATATATATATATATATTACAGTATACATAAACAGTATAAGATATGAACTAAGAAAAACATCACCTAAATATACACTAAGCACTAGTAGCATAAAAGCATTACGTCGAACATCAGCACGAACATGAGTCTGTGTGAGCAGATGAGCACGAATGAACACAAACAGATCAGCAGCAACATGTGATTTTTCACAGTGATTGTCCTGGTTAGAGATTCATTAGTGTAACAGCATCAGGGTAGAAGCTGTTCCTCAGTCTAGTGGTTCTACACTTAATGCTCCTTAACCTCCTTCCTGAGGGGAGCGGGGCAAAAAGTGTGCTGGGTGAGTGGGGTCCTTCATGATGCAGGTGTCCCTCTTCCTGCATCTAGAGGTGTAGATGTCTGTGATGGTGGGGAGACTGACTCTAACAGACTTCTGTGCAGCCTTCACCACTCTCTGCAAAGCTTTTCTTTCTTTACTGAACATTATTTTACATTTAAGGTGCAGACTTGAGGCATTCCTCTTGATGTATTGTTTTAAAAAGTCACTTCAACACTGTTATTTTTTTATTCGACTTATAAATAACTTTCCTACATATTTAGTCGTTTGTTTTTCTCCAGAACATCCAGCGGCGGTGATGGCCCAGTAACTGATCGTCAGTCTTATATTTCTGTTTATTTACAGTTCTGTATTTCCAGGTATCAGTTTCACTTCTTGTCACAAGATCCGCCCGTTGCATCACTTGTGGATTTTTATCAAATGTTTGCAGAAATGACACTTGCTGACATGGCAGCTCTTCACTGCCCACCTACTGACTTCAGAGAAATATGAGAGGTGATGTTTGGTAAATATGATCAGGAAGTGACTAGTTTTAAACCCAGAATAAGCAAACTGATGGTGAGGACCCAACACTTGATTGTAAAGTTACAAACTGTTTATTGTGAAATGGAGATATTTACTTGGGGGGGGATTTTCTTCAAGGAAAGGGAGGTCAGGCAGGTATGGGGATCTGTGGAGCAAGGGTTTTCAATAATTACTTTTGTCAGGTTGGAGCATGGAGGTTCCAGAGGAGTGGAGTACAGGTGAGCGTGGCGGGGTGAACCCAGCAGAGCAGCTTCAGTGTCGACAGGTGGGATTGATCGGCTGACTCTGGAGGTTAGTGGTTCCAGACAGACTCGAGGAGACTTGAGGAAGGCGAGTACTCGCAGGGGTGGAAAACCAAAGGCGTCGACAACGACACAGACTGGTATTCTCTATGAATTAAGTTACTTTTAGTAATGGCTGTCACAAAGTACCCACGGACTTCAACGATCCATCAATCAACTGCTGCCCCACAGGAGCTCAAGTACAGCTCAGTCCTCCATCAGAGCAGGAACAGGTGTGATGGAGATGGCTCCGCCCAGTCACCCAGGAGCTGAAAAAGCCAGATAAAACACAAAGTGCCCAGAATCTCCACAAATATGAATCATTCATCCATCCATCAATCATCTTTTACCCGCTTCATCCTTTTTGGGTCACGGGGGGGGTCACTGGTGCCCATGTCCAGCTATCACTGTGCAAGACGTGGGGTACACCCTGGACAAGTCTCCAGTCCATCACAGGCACACAGCAACAAACGAGACAACCGATCACTTTCTCATTTACACCTAGGAATAATTTAGAGTTACCAATCAGTCTAACATGCATGTTTTTGGTCTGTGGGAGGAAACCAGAGTACCTGGAGAAAACCCACTCATGCACGGAGAGAACATGCAAACTCCATCCAGAAAGATCCCAGGCTGGGATTTGATCCGGCATTCCTTCTCTCTGAGAAGCAGCAGCTCTACTACTTGTGCCACCGTGCCGCACAATATAAATAATAACGGTAAAAGGTAGTTATATTAAATCTGAAGCTTCAAAGCCTTAAAAACAGCAACTAACTTTTCTACTCCCCATGTCTGATCTATAACATCAAACACTTTGTCTTATCTCTTTATCTTCAGTTAAGTGTTTTAATTGTTTGAGAGCCGGCTCAAACAATTAAAACACTTGGCTGTTGGCTTTTAAAGGCATTTTACTCTCTACCTCTGAAGCTGTCTGGTCTAGTGTTTGGATTGGACCTAGAATGCAGAGGGACTCCAGGAGCTCAAATAAATAAATATTTGAATAAAATTGGAATAAATATGGAATAAATGACACAAACGGGCCAATAAAATCTGATTATTTTGCTCGAGTCAAATCCTCAATGCCACCTGTCAATCAATCCAGCTTGTCAGCAACTGACCAATCAGCGATCTCAATTTGTCCCAAAGTGAAACGCCTCTTACCTGCAGGAGCTCCATCCATTTTTTGCTCCGACAACAGTGTCATTGTAGTAAAATGTACAGTAATGTAAAATGAACGTTGTCATTTCGTAAAAAAATCATCAGAAAAAAATGGTTAAACGTTGTCAGTGGAGAATATACAATTCAGACACGCGTTACCCTGAGAGAGAGTGGAGTACAGTTTATTCCATGTAGCAGCTGAATATGACAGTGATAAACAGGAAGTACTACATGTTCATCTGTACAAAGGTAACTGCAGGTAAATCCTCCATTTTCTGTCATCATTACATTGCATGCTTAATGGTTAAATTAAATGCTTAAAGCTAGCTGTGCTTTGTTTTGTGTTTTATATATAGATATATGTTGCAACTTCTGATTGCTTACATTTAGTCTTAAAACTTTTAAAGGATCAGAATAAACTATTTGTGACAGAGTTCCTCGTTCACGGCCACACCACCCTGAACACGCCCGATCTCGTCTGATCTCGGTAGCTAAGCAGGGTCGGGCCTGGTTAGTACCTGGATGGGAGCCCACCTGGGAATACCAGGTGCCGTAAGCTTCTGCAATTCTCACAAACCACAGCATGGGGTACGTTGTTCAAGCCAAGAGCCATTGTCAGTAGTGGGGGCTAAGCACTAGAGTTGCATTCAGGCCCAAAAAATCCACTCCAGCCCGTAGCCATCATTTCCGAACCCCACCCGACCTGAGAAATTAACAATAATTACAGGTCCGATCCTGAAAAAAAACATAATTTTAAATTAAGCTTTGACTGCTTATATAATTTTTAACCATCGGCGGACGTGCGCAGAAGATCTGAACTGAGGGGGTGTTTGTCCTTTCATGGCCGTCAAAGCATTAAATCCCTGCTTCTGCCTGCATTCTGCATTATTCAGACACGGACCCTGCTCTGACATGTCGGATATTTTGGGATCTCACCTGTTTGGGTCGTCAACCGTGCGCGCCCGCTGAGTGCAGCTGAAATTTTTTTTAATTACACCATTACCTTCTAAAGGAAAGAAACGTGTCTCATTTGTTTGAATATCTTTCTTTACTTTAACTGAACTTTTTTTTAAATTCTTTTTACCTTTTTCAAAGCCATTCAGTGTGCGGTCCAATGGCCGCATGCAGCTGGTGATTGTATGGCAAGCCATGTTGCCATATAATTGGATCTTCAGCCACGCGCATCCGCTGACGCAATCAAAAGCCCGACACCGGCCCGCCTCGCATATTATTATGGCCTGGCCCAGCCCTAATCCGGATCGGGCCGGGCCAGGCTCCAGGTTCGAAATGACAGCTCTAAGCACCCCTAAAAGTCAGATCCTAGAATCGCCCCTGTTATTAATGGATTATGAAACTCGTTTAGCAGTGAGTACTTTAAACTGGTCCATTAATTTCTCATAAGTCAACATCTGTCATAATTGGAGAACTTTTTCAGGTGTCTGGATTGGCGTGTATCGGTCTTTTCTCGTGACATATAGGATGACTGTTCAACAACAGGAAGTGAAACTGGTTCTGACAAATCATCTGCAATAAAAACCACATGAGGGCGTAAGATCTCCACCTGTACAACAGTACAACATGTGGCATTTTAAAAACTTTTGCACACACACAAAAAAAAAAAACCTTGTTCTGAATGTTTGCACAAAACCGTGAACAAAGCAACAGTTTATATAATTTTAACATTTAGTCCAGTTTGTCGACTCCGTTCTGTGGTGAAAATAAAACGAAGTTCGAAACTCTCATGGCTGCACGTCCTGATTAAAAAAAGTACACGCATTGTGGGTTTTTTTGTTTGTTTTTTTTTGGGGGGGGTTGGTTGTTGTTTTTTTTGCTAGCTGCTGTCTAACTTATCAGGCTTACTTTGAAAAACCACTTCCTCCTCCATCAACTCAACAGTTCTCCTTTGTGGTTCTTGCTACAGTTAAGTGTTGGTTCTCTGGTTTAAAAAAAGGTGAAGAAACTCTGAAAATGGGATGTCACCCCATAAAATGTTTTTATATCTGGCACAGGGTCTGATTGAAATATAAAAGTTTTTGTTTTAGCGTCTCATCAGTCCAGTTAAAAGTAACCAGCTGACATCTTGTGTTTTTCAGGCCCGATGCTGGCGAGCCTGTTGCTCGTCTCCCTGTGCGCAGGAGCAGCGGCCATGTTTGACAGCAGGCTGGACGTCCACTGGGAGCTGTGGAAGAAGACGCACGGCAAGAATTACCAGAATGAAGTAAGCAGTTTAAAGTAAGGAAGTTTTCTGTTTATCTGCACAGAGTTGATTAACTGACGTTTTTGTTTTGTGTGCTCGTTCCGTGTTTAGGAGGAGAACGTGCGCCGCAGGGGCTTGTGGGAAAAGAGCCTGATGCTTATCACTACACACAACCTGGAGGCCTCGATGGGACTTCACACCTACGATCTGGGCATGAACTTCATGGGAGACCTGGTTTGATTCTCTCCTGTCTCAATGTCTTACTTAGAAGTTTGAATTTGTAAAACCCTTAAAGTTATCCATGTTGAAACTTAAACAGCGTCTGAACAAGAAGTATTTCCTGCTTATCTCAACAATAAACCCGTGAGTTTTCTGAGCAGCAGAAACGGGACCACAAAGGCGCCCTGAGAAACCTAATTTAATTTACGCAGGAAGTTTTGTGGCTGCAGCAAAAGCTGTTTTAAATTCTTACCTTGAAATTAGTTGAACTTTAAAAACTCACAAATTTTCTCTTGAAGTCACCGTGCTGTTATTTACAACGACAACAAAGAAAACAACTTTATAAATTGTGATTTAGTTTTTGCTGTTTTCACCTTTTTTCTGCAGACACTTTTGGCGTCAGTTTGTTTTAAAGACAGACTTGATTTTTATTTCACTTTTGTTCAATTCCTGGTTCAAATTCATTCCAAAATTGTTCAATTTTGCATGGTGCACTGTACAATTTTGACTGGCAAAGTTTTATATTATTATTTTATTATTATTATTATTATTATTATATAAATTAGCAGATGAATAAGTTGTTTGTCAAACTTTTCATTTTTCCTCCTAAATGCATTTATTTTAACCCTATGATGTTTCGGATGGATGGATGGATGCAGACATACATTATTAACTGCAGGGGAGACATTTTGAGAACTAACATATTTAAGCCCTAAAAGGTATTTTAAACTAAAACCCGTGTGTTGAAACTGATCTGAGTGTGTTGGTTGCTTCTCCTCTCAGTGTTGGTGTTACAGTATCTTCTTCCTCCCAGACAGCGGATGAGATCTTGCAGTCCTTTGCAACCCTCACTCCCCCCACTAACCTCCAGAGGACGCCATCTCCCTTCACAGGGGCCTCGGGCTCCAGCGCACCAGACACCGTGGACTGGAGAGAGAAGGGCAGTGTCACTAGGGTCAAAATGCAGGTAAAAAATAAAATGACAAATGTAATCGTTCAGTCAAAGAGACTGTTTCACAGCTTCAACAGGACAAATTGAATGATTTGTGCCGGCTGTCGACACAGGAGCACCCTGTTTCAGTCAACGTTGTCATGATTTATTTTTCCTCTACATACTTCCTGTTTGTTCTTCTCATCACTTTGCACATGAAGTCCCCACAACCCCAAGTTTTGCATGTTTCTTCACCACAGCCACATTTACAGTCAGTAAGAGTTGTGAAACCACTTCCTCACCTGCTTCAAAAAGTCCCCGTTCAACATTTACTTTTAAAACTATCAATCAACAGTTTTGTTACTGAGGAACTCTTTTTTTTTTCCAAGATATAAAACATAATGTCCTGATTTCATACATTTTGCAAACCCATGTTGTGCAGCAAAACATGGCCACGTGCGTAAAACGATTCATACTTTTATCGTTTTATTGAAACTGTTCAGAAAAGGTTTACTCTAAATGAGGTTGCATGGTGGGGTTGTGGTTACCTCCGTCTTAAAATTAAAAATTTCTCGGTTTGAACAAGTGAACTCTACAAATGGCACATAATTTAAAATTTGTAGGAGAGTTATTTCTCTAACTACACCGCCTACTGTTAACATGCATGTTATAGAAAAGATTATCAAATGTCTTGTAGATATACCATAAAGATGTTTTTCATGTGTGAATGTTTATGAAGCATTCTCACTTTTATGATCCATTTTCCTTCCGTAAGTTTTCAGCATCTTTTTTGTTCCACAATTTTTGTGCTGTTTCAACAAATCATGTCAAAACATTCAGCTCTTTTAGGACAATCCTTCTATGACTTTTGGTATTGACTCATCTTTAGCTTTGAAATATTTAGCCTTTTCCGCCATTTTTTTTTTCAACGAAAATGAATTGAGCTCATTTTCCATCCTTCAAATCTTTAGATGTGTTTACAACCTTTTACTGCTCCTTTCACATTTTGTGCTGGTTCAGCATCTTTCAGCTTCCTTGTGCAAATTTAAACTCTTTTCAGCTACTTTCAGCTGGGGTTTCTTTAGCTGTTTTGTGCTCCTTTTAGATTCTTTCTGCTAACCACAACATGTTTGTGCTTCTTCTAACTTTTCTGCTAATTTCAGCTTATTTATGCAAGTTTCAACCGTTTCTGCTATTTTAGCTACTATTTAGCTGTTTTTTTAACCTTTTTTGAACCTTTATGCTAATGTTAGCTTTTTCAGTTAATTCCACATCTTTTGCACTCATTTCAACTTGTTCAGCCTAATGCAGCAAAAAAATGTGCTCTCTCCACTTCCTTCTGTTAATTTAAGCTTCTTTCTGCCTTTTAGCTACTTTTCAGTTGTTTTTTGCTCATTTAAACTTTTTTCAGATAATTTCCACCTTTTTTGTGCTCATTTCCGCTTCTTTCAGCCTAATTGAGTAAACATGTTCTTTATGCTTTCTTCTGCTAATTTAAGCTTGCTCTACCTTTTTTCAGATTTTTTTCTTTTTAGCATTTTTAGCTCATTTCAGCTGATTTCAGATGAATTCAAGTTTTTCGTGGTAATTTCTGCTACAGTACTACTTTCAGCCTAATTAACTTATTTATGCTAATTTCAGTTTGTTCTGTTCCTTTCAACTTTTTGTCTGCTAGTTTCAGCTTTTTCGGCTATTTCAAGGATTCAAGGGATTCAGTGTTCTTTATTTGTCATTCGCACCACATGTGGTACATGTGGTGGAACAAATTGTGTACACAGGGTCCCAGTTACATCCAACAAAAGTATAAAATGTAAAAGAAAAACAGTAATAAGATCCAAGATATGAACTAAGAAAAACGTTAACTAAAAGCACTAATAGTACAAAAACAATGCGCCGAACAGCAGCACTGCCGATCAGATTTGGCTACTACCACCGCCGATTCAGCTACTATTTAGCTGTTTTAGTGCAAAATTTAGATTTTTCAGCTAATTCCACATTTATTTTTAGCTTGTTTCAGCTCCTTTCACTTCCTTCTGGTAGCTTAAGCTTCTTTCAGCATTTCCATCTACTTTTCAGCTATTTTTTGCTAAATTCAGCTTGTTTTTAGCTAATTTTTATGCTAATTTCTGCTTATTTAAACCTTAAACAGCAAATATGTGTTCCTTCTGCTTTCTTCTGCTAACTTAGGCTTGTTCTTCCATTTTAGTTACATTTCAGCATGTTTTTAGCAAATTTCAGCTGTTTTTCAGCAAGTTCTTGAGCAACTCGCACTGCATTTTTGCAGGAAACGCAATTTGTCTAGCTGTTAATTTTGTTCCTCATCAGAAAGCCTTCCTCACAGCACATCTACATGATGAAGTCCATTAATATGAATAAATGCTTCATCTGAATCTGAAGCTCATAAAAAGTGGTTATTCAGGGCGATTTAGTGTGTAGGTTTCCTGCAGATGCTTTTTAAACACATCAAAGTCAGAGCAGTTTTGTTTTTTTTTAAATCCAGGGTTCCTGTGGCTCCTGCTGGGCCTTCAGTGCTGCCGGGGCCCTGGAGGGTCAGCTGGCCATAAAAACCGGAAAGCTCATCGACCTCAGTCCCCAAAACCTCGTGGACTGTTCCACGAAGTACGGCAACCACGGCTGCAACGGGGGCTTCATGCACCACGCCTTCCAATACGTCATCGACAACCAGGGCATCGACACTGACGCTTCATACCCGTACACCGCGCAGGTGAGTAAACTAAAGCAGCTAAAGGACTAAAAATAAAACAGCATTGTTTAATAGAGAAGTTTTTAACTCTAATTAAGTTTCCTCTCTGCAAGAATCAATTATCAGTTGTTGTTTTTTTACGTTAGTGAAATCCCCAGCCACATTTTTTTTAAACCCAAGGCATTTATTTTGTAAATCAGATATTTTTTTGTAAATAAGGAATCCAGTGTGAAGCGGGTTGTGATATGAGGCACAGTGTGGGCGTATGAACAGCAGGATGAAGTTAAACCAGACCCTTCAGGCTGCAGACAGCAACACTTTTCACTGGTCTGTGCTCTCCTGTTAATGTCTCTTTGGAGCAACAATGAATTAATCGGAGCGGACAACATGTTTGTCCTCCAGGCTTCAGCTGCTTCGCTGATATTTCTGAGGAGGAGGAGGAGGAAGAGGGCAGTTATGATCAGCCCGGCTGACGCGCTGCAACAAAATATCTAAAAACTTTACATGGGATGAAACATAAATTTCATTTCAAACAACTGCATCATAAAAGCACTTTAAAAACTAGTATAAACCATAAAATTAATTATATTGCTTGATTTTAAACTTTACTGTTTATTTCTGTTTGGGTTTTTTTGTTTGTTTGTTTTTGTTTTTACAGTAGTCCCTCACTACTTCGCGGTTCGTTTACGGCGGACTCGCTCTGTCGCGGTTTTTCAAAATAAGATTGGGCATAACACACAATTGACTGATTGATGGATGAGCCGCATGATCGGCATGGAATTTTTATTTTAAATAAATAATTTTAAATTATTTAGCACCTGCTGCACATTTGTGCAGCCCATACTGCTGGAAAAACTTCCTGCTGCAGCTGATCAGCTGTTCACCATGCAGAGCAGAGACGTGGGCGTGGCCAATAGCTCTTGCAGGTGGCAAAGAGCAGAGGAGGCAGAGAGCTGAAATCATGACATTCCGTCTCTTTTAGAGCATTTAGAGTTTAGAAATATTGTTTAGAATATTGCAAGAGTGTGGGA